AAAAACGGCTATTACGTTTCAATAATATTCAATTGTATTGACCTGAGTAGAAAAAAAGAAAATTTTCAATAGTTTAACTAGATTTGTTCTCTGTGCTTTAAGTTAGGGAGAATTTATTAAATTACATAATTTGTTTTTATAATACCATACACACACATGCATACATTTTATGACATGCACAAACCAACATTAATATCACATGTGTATTAGTATTTAGAGTAAAAATTACAGTTTGTAAGTGTCCTTGGCCATGTGAATACAGAAGAGTGTTTAACTTGTTGGTAAATTGTTTTATTTTTAGTATAACAATATGTTGGGCCAGATGTGGACAAGTGGGTATCAGGCCATGGTAAATTGTTTTATCTTTAGTATAACAATATGTTGGGCCAGGTGTGGACAAGTGGGTATCAGGCCATGGTAAATTGTTTTATTTTTAGTATAACAATATGTTGGGCCAGGTGTGGACAAGTGGGTATCAGGCCATGGTAAATTGTTTTATCTTTAGTATAACAATATGTTGGGCCAGGTGTGGACACGTGGGTATCAGGCCATGGTAACTTGTTTTATTTTTAGTATAACAATATGTTGGGCCAGGTGTATACAAGTGGGTATCAGGCCATGGTAAATTGCTTTATTTTTAGTATAACAATATGTTGGGCCAGGTGTATACAAGTGGGTATCAGGCCATGGTAAATTGTTTATTTTAGTATAACAATATGTTGTGCCAGGTGTGGACAAGTGGGTATCAGGCCATGGTAAATTGTTTAACTTTAGTATAACAATATGTTGGGCCAGATGTACAAGTGGGTATCAGGCCATGGTAAATTGTTTTATCTTTAGTATAACAATATGTTGTGCCAGGTGTGGACAAGTGGGTATCAGGCTAGACTATAAATCTGAAGGTCATTGATTTGTGTCCCATTGCTGCAAAATTGTACCCCATCATTTGTAGCTGTGGGTGTGTTATAAAAGTGACTGTTAAATCTCACTAAGTGATTAGAGTATCCTAAGAGTTGATAGTGGATGCTGTTGAGTAGCTGTCTTCCTTCTAGTTTATCAGTCCAAAATTAGGGATAGCTGGTAGATGGCCAATTATATACTTGTTGTCGTGTTGTGTTTACACTAAGTAATTCTGGAAACGAGCAAAATTACTTTGAGTGAAATTTTGCATCTAAACAATTGTTACAGGTATTTAAAGTAGAAACATTTTATGAACTTACTAAATTTTTTATGTTTGTGATGAAGAAATACAGGTATTTATGTCTTTTCTTCATACATTGTTAAACTATTTAAATAATAGTAATTTATGATTTCATGGTAATAATATAAGTCTCAATTTTTTTTATCATAACCTAAACTTTGGAATGTGTTTGATGTGTACATCTGTTTCTAACAGTCTGTTGTTCTTATAGCTTTAAATATTAGAGTTTGTAGCCAGATTTTAATATTATAGATGTATATTCTTAGGAAGAATATAACAGTGTTCATGGAGGAAAGTGGACCATGTGTAACTTAAAACTGTATCTGGAAGGTACAAGAGGAAAAGAGGTGAGACAATGTAAATACAATAATTTTTAAATTTAGGCCTAGCGTGGGCTTTCTTACAAGGATTCAATCATGCTATCAGACATAAATGTGGTGTAAAAATAGAGAACTTTCACTTTTTCGTATGTTGATGTCTAGATGCATGTATGATATTACTAGTTACACATGATTTTGAAGGATACTGAGGTTATAATTTATATGAAAAATTTTTTTTCTCAATCTGTAAACAAAATTGTAGTAAAACATCTAGCATCTTCTGCATGCTGAGGATTTAGTAGTAAAAAAGCCATCTATATGTGTTGTGTATGTTTATTTATTATGTTGTAACCTAATGGATCATTTAATATTGTGTTACTTTAATTTTTGTGTATGTACATATCCAAAGTCTGTAATCCTTTAACCAAAAGCAAGAAACTCAAACAGATTTATGAAGCGAAACAAATGCAGCTTATTCCTGGGACAAGTCTAACAAGACTTTTTAACACCTTTTCTTTGACCATAAGTTGGTGGAAAAAAAAAATCCTAAATAATCTAAAACAAATAATGACCAGTAACAATATAAGATTCAGATATCACAAAACATATTGTTACGTCTCGGTTTGTTAATTACCTCTCCGTAAATTCGTTCCGACCAAACTTTAACGACACAAGTCTTTACTTAATAAAACTGGTTTATTCTTTCCGAATATAACTTTACCGATACACTCAACTTCAACAATCGCGCTAAACAAATGCTGTAACAACGAACGTCTACAATACTTCTGACTGCAGTTCAATTACTCACTATCTACACACACATTCCCGCGTCACGTTGTCCCCCTCTTATATATACCCGACTACCCTATATCTAGTAAATACTAGAGCATTCGCCAAAGTACAGGATAGTTCTAGAAACGTGGCGTCACAGTAGTCATGTGACTCGCTGACGCAACAATATTTTCCTCACCAGGAGCTGTATCATTTTAGAATTTGAAGTTGTCTGATTTCTAACCACATGATTACTGATGTTTTAAACCTTTAAAATATTTATTTTGATACATTCTGTGCAAACTTAGACTTATAAATAATTTATATTTTTGCAAAAATGTAGGCTTAATAAGCTGTGTCACATTGGTCATAAATGTTATTGATTAGCTGCAGTTTACATAAAGTTTACTTTATGTAAGTATTGTTAATATCAATGTAAAGAAGAGGAACCAGCTTAAAAAGCAGGATTCACTTTGTAATAATTCTTGTCAAATCCTGAAAGGCAGAAATCTATTTTTTGTTCATAAAAATCTAGACAAATTTTATTTTCTTAGTATATAAGTGAGTACATAAATCCTGGAACTTGTGTATTACTAAAAAAGAACCTTTCAGTCAGTTAATAATTATATCGTGGATGTACAATGTATGATATAGCTTGTAAATGAAATAAGTTTTGAATTTTTATGTCTGAATGATGCAATATTTTCAATGTAGGTGACTGACAAGCTATTTGAAAGCATTCGACAACTTGTCTTACATTCCTTAAAAGCTGTGTCGGTAGGTAGCTAATGGTTAGCTTTTATAGTGTTTTTTCTGCTATAATCTTATGATTCAAATAGAAACAAGTAAAACGAACCTTAAAATATGTATTTAAAGATTTTTAAATTAAAAAATAGTAAAATATGTCAATTTCAATAAATTGTAAAGTTTCAGACTTTTTCTTTAAAATATTTTAATCTGTTTATGTATTGTAAGTTATTAATTTGCATGCAAGCTGTTATATGATTTAATTATAAAATACATGTATGGTTTCGGTTCTGAAGTCTTAAAGAATTTGCATTATTAGAAAATTGGTGTATATTTGTTCATTGTTACAGCTGATAGTAGGACATTGTTTAAATTGGTGTATATTTGTTCATTGTTACAGCTGATAGTAGGACATTGTTTAAATTGGTGTATATTTGTTCATTGTTACAGCTGATAGTAGGACATTGTTTAAATTGGTGTATATTTGTTCATTGTTACAGCTGATAGTAGGACATTGTTTAAATTGGTGT